GTCCTTTCTATCCAATATAATAACGTAATAAAAAATAATCTAGCAATGGACAACTATTTTTATGCTTGATTATAATTAGAAACATTCATATTTGTATTTATAGTAGTGTAATAGTATTTGACACAGCATACGAACATTTATAGGTGAGATTGAGACTCTCTTCTGTTTACACCAATAACCGACTTGAGGGTGTAGATCTGGATATTTTTTATTTTGACATTATCATTGAACTCTAGCAAAAAGTATACTCGTTGATGCACGATGTGATGCTGGTGACGAATATCTGGTTGCTTTCGACTTTTCTTTTTGCTTTCAGCCTGATCTAAACTGAGATGTTCAGAAAAAGAATGAAAGTATATAACGACTGGTATTTTCTGAATAGGTTAGTTCTAGTTAAAGAAAAATCAATGAAGTTTTCAATGATAGTATATCTTAGTGGTTTGTATCTATAATAAAAATTTTAAGGCATTTAATTTTGCTATTGATGAGAAATGGATTTTTTAGTGCAAAAGAATGAAATTCTATAATGCTTGGTCACATCGATCATTGATTATTAGTCGTAGGAAAATGTAAATACATATGTTCCTCTAATGTCAATTTTTGCATTAATTGATTATTAAAAGAAAGAAAATTAATAAGGTAAAATAAATATTTACTATTGGCAGAAGTTCTACTCGATTGACATTATCTACTGAAAAAAATCCAACAATTAAACAATCAAGTAGCATACTTCTGTGATATCATCTTGAACAATTCATTCCTTTTATCTGACGTACGTCTCATTCGTTGTGGATTCAGAACAATTTATCACGAAAATCAAATTGCTCTACTAAATTATTAAATCGATGTTGTTGAATTAATGTTCTTAAATATAACCTAATATATTTGGCAAATAAGCCAATGTTAGAAACCATGCTTCTCTCCTTAGGATGATCGTAGAAATTTAATTTTCTTTCCAATTGAAATAGTAAAATCTGAACTTCAAAAAACGTAGGAAAGCAATTTTCTGGGATTAACTTTGAGCAAGAAAAAAGTTCGATAATACAACATACTGCTTTCCTTAGACTTTTTCTTGAAAACTAAATAGATAATAAAGTAGTCCTTACAAAACTTTATCGACTTTCACACTTTAGAAACTTTTAGAATTTCTTTAACAGTAAATAAAATGTATTATACGTTTTTGTTTTCATAGATAGCATTGCTTTGCATGGTACACATACTACTATGAGAAATATTCATTATTCGGAGCTTAAACATGTTGGTAAAGATTAAAATTAATTCAAATTTGTAGAGAATTGAGATTTAACTCACGAGGGAACCTTTGCAGGTGTCCCCCGCCGATTTCAATGAAACTTCGTCCATAGATACTACATAGTGCCCTAGTAAAAACCCTAAAAGGGTTTGAGTGCGAATCGCTTCCTTCAAAAGTTATGGTCATTTTACTGAATTTTCGACTCATTCCTAGGTATTTATCGAAAAAATCAAACTATCGAATTTCGACCTGCAATTTTGTCCATAGGTAGGTCTAATGATCCTTAGAATATTCGGAAAGTTTCAGCTAAAAAGAATGTTTCTTTCTCGAGATATTAAGTTTTCAAGTGAACTCGGTCTGTGTGACCTATCTCTGGCAAGCGACTATTTTTTGAAAACTTAATATCTCGAGAAAGGAACATTCTTTTTAGCTGAAACTTTCCGAATATTCTAAGGATCATTAGACCTACCTATGGACAAAATTGCAGGTCGAAATTCGATAGTTTGATTTTTTCGATAAATACCTGGGAATGAGTCGAAAATTCAGTAAAATGACCATAACTTTTGAAGGAAGCGATTCGCACTCAAACCCTTTTAGGGTTTTTACTGGGGCACTATGTAGTATCTATGGACGAAGTTTCATTGAAATCGGTGGGGGACACCTGCAAAGGTTCCCTCGTCAGATGAAAAAACTCGGCTCATAGGCTATGGGCCTTTGAATCGTTCCAGTCCATGATTTTGTCTTAACAAATAGCTCAATCATAGGCCACTAATCTATTTTGCATTCGATACATTTTTAACACATAAATCAACAAACATATTTCGATTACCAATAGTTGATATATAAACTAATATTCGATAATATATTTGACCATTTGATTTGAAAAACCCATAATTCTCTCAAATTCATCAGTATTTTCTGATTTTTTAGTTAGAAAACCAAAAACTTTCTCACATAAAGATTTGTTTATTTTTCCATTTTCTTAATACGAGCATTTTTTGCTGGTTGAACCAACTCCGACTGTTGAAGAAGAAATGTTAACTAAAATTGATGATTGAAAATGTTCTCTGGAAATAGAATTAGAATTGAAAAAAGTAATTGATGATGATGTTGTAATAGTTGATAAACATGAATAAGAACTAAGCAAGGACATTTTGCTGAATGCAAATAAAGTGTTTTTTTAACGTACCAACAGTTTTATCGTTTTTCTTTACTTTACTTTATCTATTTGCTGTTCATTGTAGAAATGTTTTAGTTAATCGAAAAAAAAACATATTTACGAAGAGTGTGGAACCAAATCGAACTCGAACTATTGCTTGAAAAATGATGTCGAAATGAATTGAACCTGAATAGATTTTCGAAAAGCGAGTGAATGGAGGCAAATGTATAAGAAAAAAGATTAATTGAACTATCACCTTTTTTTGTAAAATTGTGATGCTGTGGACAATGATTAAACGATCGTTCGATCAATTGTTTTATGTCAAAGATCCAAAACGAACTGTTGTAGTAAAATTCGGTTCGATTCGTTCTCTGTTAATTATTTTTTTTATTATATGCCTTATTATACTGGACTTTATGGTTGCCCAGTGAAGAGACAAAACAAAAAATAAAAAGTACATTATATAGATCTGACAGGACAGAGCAAGTATATGCAAAAAAAGTTAAAAAAATCGTACATAAGATAGCTTCACTCGTGAACGTAGAAAGCAAATAAAGAACGATAAAATAATCGAAAACGAAATCAAAGCTCAAATACCTGAACATGTCGTTCAGAAAAAAATCTAGTCGGACCCGAATTCAAACGCATACCCGCTGTTTTAAGAATCGTTACACATATATCGCTTCTAAAAGACGGATAAAAAGTTCACTGAGGAGCTAAACACAATGTATCTGGATCCATCATAAGAACCACCCTTAAAACGTCTTCAATAGAGATATAAACGTTCAAGTAGAATGTATTCACCAGTGATAGAAAAAATAAATAAATGATTAGATCAATTGGCTAAACCAAATTTAAGCATGGAAGTTCGAGTATTAATTTCATATCCAAGATATTGAAAATTCTTAACACTCAATAAGCGATAACCTTCATAAAAAAAAGGTGTCAGGTTCTCTGTTAATTATTACAACAATCATTTCATAATTCTTTTGTTTCAATTATGTGTCATATGATAAATAGGATCTCTTGTATAAGAATTTTTTCAAACTTCATTATCCAATTATACTTATTCTATTGAGCAAGAATAAAAATAAACAAGAAATAGTATTATCAATGCACTCGCATATTGATCGAAAACTTTATTCGTTTTGTTTTTCAATAATATTAATAATAATTTCGATCACATGCTTCTTTTTTTTTTCTTTTGATTATTATTTTCTGTTCGATATGTTTCTTCAATAATAAACTTTTCTATACGTGTTGTTACTCACGTAAAAGCAAGCATTGTTTTCATTAGATTCTTATCTCCATCATTAAACATATATGAAGCTATTCATCAATAACGGTTTTCGTCCCATTATCATTGTTACAAGGTCATTTCTCTCAATGACAAAACTATTTTAAAAAACCATGACTCATGTATATAAACAACATAACAGTAAGCATTGCTTTAATCGATCATAGTAGTATGGTCTAGTTGTCGTAATATCAAACTAAATGTAGAAGACAGATATGCTAATTCTAATGATTAAATTTTGTTTTTCTTCTGAAACAAAAGCAAATTGATTTAGACAAAAGTGGTTTTTCCTGAACATTGTACATTCAATACCATTTTATTATTATCTAATATTTTCAAGCAAACATTCAATATTTTGCTAGAATAGATTTTGTAGAATTGTTTTTAAATCAGATGATATTTATATGGAAAAAAAAACGCTTCAAATAGAATGAGTTGCACCAATATTATTATCTAATCTCATCTCATAGTTCTCATTGAGTAGGTAAACAAATGAAGTTTAAAATAATAAAACATGAAGCATCTTTCTCCCAACAAATAAATCCAATCGTGACTACAGAGGATGGAATATTGCATCTGCCTTTTATCCTCCTCTGACGAAAAAAAGGTTCCCAACTGATCCATGTTGTTTTCATTGATATTTTATTCATATGTCAGGAACATTATTCTAAGAAAAATACTACGATAGTTTGAGTAATGAGGCTTACGTCGAAGGTTATGACAATTATACTGATTTTTCACTTAACACAAGGTATATAAAGAAAAATTGAACAACGGAATTTCAATCTGAAATTTTACTCATATGTAGTTCTTGCGATCATTGGAACGATGTAAGAGTTTCAGTCGAAGAAAATGTTTCCTTTTAGAGTTATCGATTCTTAAAAACTTGTTTCATCATGCTTAAAGTTCTGAGAGATTTACTTTTTCCTAAAAATTGAACATCTCAACAAGGAAAACTTTTATTTTTCACTAAAAATTTTAGAGTGTTCCAATGATTACGATAACTGAATATAAGTGCAGTTTCAGATCGAAATTCCGTTGTTCATTTCTTTTGTATATACCTTGTACTGAGTTGAAATATTAATAAATTTTTTTCTAGAATAATATCCTCATCATATAGACAAAATACCATTGACAATGGCGTGGTTTAGTCGGGCACCTTCCCTCGTGAGTGATAAAGGGATAAAAAAATGCATTATGTGTAATTTCCTTCGCACAAGGTATATTTAGGTTACAATTGAAGTTAAAACATTAATAAATTAAGAATCATTCATACCTGTAATATCATAAAAATGCGTTTTCTCATATTTTTCTTCATCGTTTTTATTTGTAAGAAAGGAAATGCATCACTATATCAATGTAATGAAAATGCTGCATGTGGATGTTCAATTAAGTTTACTCTTATATCACGTATTATTGGTGGTGAAAATGCAGTTGAACAAACTTGGTCATGGGCTGTTTCTCTTCGTTCTACTCAAGAACACTTTTGTGGAGGATCAATTCTTTCACCATCATTCATTATTACTGCTGCTCATTGTTTCAATGACAAAACTGATTTAAAAAGTATCACTATTCTTGCTGGATCTGTAAATTTAAAACCCTCATCAAAGGATTCACCTCAAATCCGTTCCATTGCTCGAATCTACAAGCATCCAAATTATAACCCTATTACGTACGAAAACGACTTGACTCTCATTCACTTGTCTACTCCATTAGATATGGGACATGGAAATATCAAACCAATCTGTTTACCATCTGGTACTGTTCCTCAACCATCAAACAATATTAGTATGGTTGCTGTAGGTTGGGGTACAACATCAACGTCGATAGTTGTAGCTTCTCCAAC